AATAGAAAAACAGAATAATCTAGCTATAAATGTGTTTGGGCATGAAGGTAACACAACAATAGTGCACAGAGTCAGTCCATTGGGGAACCCCCTTCGCGTTATCAATATATTCATGATCCAGCGAGGTGACAAGTACCACTACACATGGATAAAACACTTTAGTAGGCTGTTGTATGACCAATCGGCACACAGAGAAAAGACCCACTTCTGCGAACGGTGCCTACATGGCTTTACACGAGCTGATTTATTAGAATCCCACCGGGAGGATTGCCAAGGTGTGGGGCAGACGGCTATACGAGTCGACATGCCTAAGGAAGGTGATAATATCCTAAAATTCGGTAACCACAAGAACCAAATGTCTGTGCCTTATATCATCTACGCCGACTTTGAAGCCTTGGTCAAACCTGTTGAGGCTGCCGCCGGCGGGGCTGTTGGGGATACTCCCACAGGTGAGAGCTTCACACTCAAAACACAAGAGCATGAAGCCTGTGGGTTTGGATACATTGTCGTCCGTTGTGATGGGGAAACAAAAGCTCCCGTAGTGTATAGGGGTCCCGACTCGGCTGAAAGGTTTCTTAAGTGTTTGTAGGAGGAAGAAAAAATTATTAAGAATGCACTGTACACAATCGCTCCCATGCGTATGACCCAAGCCAACAGGCTAGCTCACGCCTGTAGCACTAATTGTCACGTGTGTGACTCACCACTTAACGGTGATTCGGTGAGAGATCACTGTCACATAACTGGTAAGTATAGAGGCACCGCTCACAGCGCGTGTAACCTCAAGCTTAGAATCAACCCTAAGACAATAAACATTCCCGTTGTCTTTCACAACTTGAGAGGGTATGACTCACACTTGATCATGCAGGCCATCGCGAAAATCGATAGCAATATAACGTGCATCCCCAACAACATGGAGAGATACATCTCCTTCAGCTTAAACGGCCTTAGGTTCATAGATTCAATTCAATTCCTACTGTCCTCACTCGACAGTCTGGTCAAGGCCAAAGATACCTTCCCTATCACCGATCGATACACAGACGCCGAGACTAGACCCCTGCTGATGAGGATGGGTGTATACCTCTATGAGTACATGGATGGTTGGGCCAAGTTCGCCGAGACCAGACTACCCCCCATCAGAGAATTTTACAGCAATCTGACCGACTCGGAAATATCCCAAGACGATTACTCACACGCTATTAATGTATGGAATAAACTGAGTTGTCAGAATCTGGGTGACTACCACGACCTGTACTTGAGGACAGATGTACTGCTGTTAGCCGACGTGTTTGAGACGTTTAGGCGGACATGTTTCAAGCAGTATAAACTCGACCCCGCATGGTATTACACCAGCCCAGGTCTGTCGTGGGATGCCTTGCTTAAAAAGACCGGAGTTAAGTTGGAATTGCTTACAGATTATGACATGCACCTATTCATTGAGAAAGGCTTGCGAGGCGGGATCTCCATGGCAACCAAACGATACGCGAAGGCAAATAATCAATACATGAAGGGCTACGACCCGAGCAAGCCAACCAATCATATTCTCTACCTCGACGCCAACAACCTGTATGGCTGGGCTATGAGCCAGTATCTACCCACAGGGGGATTTGAATGGGCGTCACCCATTGATGTTATGAGCATCGCACCAGATTCGAACAAAGGTTATATCCTCGAGGTTGAGTACCCCAAGGCATTACACACATCACACAACAGTTACCCCCTGGCCCCCGAACATATGAGGGTTAACCCAGACTGGATGTCTGAGTACCAACATAACTTGTTAGGTGGGCGGGTGGCAGACATTGAAAAACTCGTGCCCAACTTAATGAATAAGACCAAGTACATCGTTCACTATCGCAACCTACAGCTGTACCTGTCGTTGGGTATGAGGCTGACCAAAATACACAGGGTGCTCTTGTTCAACCAGAGCCCATGGATGGAGCCCTACATCAGAATGAACACAGACCTCCGAAAGCTTGCCACCAGTGACTTTGAAAAAAATCTCTATAAGCTCATGAACAACTCGGTGTTCGGTAAGACTATGGAAAACCTTAGGAAACGCGTGACCGTAAAGCTGGTTCGGTCGAATGAGGAAGACAAGCTCAGGAGACTGATAGCCAGTCCGGCATTCAACCGTAGCAAGATATTCACCGATGACCTAGTTGCCCTACACATGAAGAAAAGCCACATAAAATTCAACCGGCCTGTTTACGTGGGGATGAGCATCCTCGATTTATCCAAACACCTGATGTACGACTTTTACTACAACGAGCTGAAGAAACAGCACGACGACAGGTGTGAAGTGCTGTACACTGACACGGATTCCCTGCTGATGGAGATTCGAACCGAGGACGTGTACGAGGACATGAAGAAACACCTCGATTTGTACGACACCAGCGACTACCCCAAGGACCATGCCATACACAGTACGGTTAATAAAAAGGTCCTAGGTAAGATGAAGGACGAGTGTGCTGGCACGCCCATAGCCGAGTACATAGGGTTGAGGCCTAAGATGTACTCCATACTGAAAGCCGACAATAGTGAGATCCGGAAGGCTAAGGGTGTTAAGAAGTACGTGGTGAAACAACACATCAAACACGCCAGATTCAAGGAAGCCCTGTTCAAGACCCGTACCTTTAGACATAAAATGAACACACTTAGAAGTGATGGGCATAGGATATACGGACTTACTATAAACAAGACGTCCCTGTCGCCAATGGACACTAAACGTTGGATAGCTATTGATGGGATAAACACGTACGCATACGGGCATGAGAAAATTGAACCAAGACATGTCACGGAACCAGAGAAAGTTTGAGGCTATTTACTATAGCCCACGTGGGTACTGGAAAGGAGCTAGCGCTGTAGATAAGCTGGCTAAAATGGCGCGAGTACCGCCGGAGGAGGCCAAAGCGTGGCTTGAAAAACAAGCCCTATGGCAGATCTATTTACCGGCACCAGCGCTACGTGCCTAGAAGGAGGTTCGGTATTAACATACCTAATAGCGTTCACCAGGCCGACCTCCTATTCCTACCCCACGACAAGAGGTACAAGTATGCCTTAACCGTAGTGGACGTAGCCAGTCGCTATAAGGAAGCCGAACCCTTGACCGCGAAAGATTCGGTCCAGGTAGCCAGAGGATTCGAACGCATATACAAACGCAGCCCGCTGACGTGGCCAACAGAGCTGCAAGTTAACCCCGGGCAGGAGTTCATGGGTGTCGTGTCACAACTGCTAGCCAAACACGATACAAAGGTCAGGCGTGGCATGGCCGGAGCCCATCGCAGCCAAGCCATAGTTGAGAGATTTAATAGGGCATTGGCTGAGCGCTTATTTGGCCATCAGTATGCGAGGGAGATGGCCACCCCGGGAAAAGGATCAACTGAATGGGTCGTGAGGTTACCCAAGGTGGTGGCAGCAATCAACCATGAAGCCACCCGTCTCACCGGCAAGAAACCGGCAGACGCTATCAAACTAAAATCAATAGTGGCAGAGCCGGCTGCTCCATTGCGTGGGAAAGAGAAACAGATACCAGATAGGGCCCTAGTTAGGTATCTATACCAGCCGGGGGAACACGAGGGTGATAGCTGTAAGCGAGCCACCGATCCTATATGGTCAGTCAAAACTTACAACATAAATAAATCGGACATCAAAGCAGACGAGCCTAACTTGTACTACTTGAGAGATGGGCCAGGGAGAGGGTTTGTAAGAGCTGAATTATTGATCGTACCGTATGGCACAGTGTTACCTCCAGTCAACACAGCATAGCGGCACGTGGAGCGATCCCAGGATAGATCCGTTAAACCAACTTCTTTCAACCATGTCCCCGGTAGCTCAGTTGGTTAGGTGGTGTGGCTAGGAGGTGTAACATTGGGCGTTCGTATCCTGCTAGCGTCCCAAACTTTTTTATAGTAGGGGTAATGGTAGCAAGAGCTAAGGGTCCAACCAAAGCCTTATCTGGGAAATAAGGCTTTGCAGAGGCTTTTGTTGGACCTGGTCCAAAACCCCCATTGTATATACTACTCGGGGTATTGAGAAGCCATGTCGTTGGCGTGACCAGCCGATTGGTAGAATCGGGCCTATTCTACCACCCGTCTAGGCAAAGGTAGGGTCGAAGTGGTGTGTTGGATTATTGAACACTATTGCCGGTTCCGTCATCCTCAACCACCAGACTCCCTTCCTCTGCCGACACAGGGGTGCAACCTACGGCAAACGGGTTGCCCAATTTGGTCGCCTCTTACAACCAGCAATGGGGTGCTGTGGACCTATTCGACCCCGGGTCCACACGGGAGCGAAGAGCCATTGGCGTTACCCAGCACCCACCACGAGGAGGTTGCTCTTCAAGGGGTGCCTTGTGGACACTGATACAATCAGTAGGGGGTTCATGGTAAACACAACCAACCACCTCTTGCACAAATCCATCTAACCCCAAAACATGGGGAAATGATTCTGGGGCTTTAAAGAAAAGGTGGACATGCGGCTCCTTCTTGCCAAACATATTTCTAAATACTAAGGACATGTTGAGACAGTATAGTTGAGTTGAGTTGAGTTTCGCTTTACGTCACATCGGCATTATTCCAGCCATATAGTGTTACTATATATATACTATAAGTCACATATTTAGCAAATCCAACTGAGCCAGTGGGGAAGTTGGCTTTTATCCTTAATCAAACTAGTTGATTCAACAAACAGAGTGTACAATATACAGTTCTGTTTGCTTTATATGTGTTGTCAAGCATATTGTTTCTTGAAGCAACCTGGCATCCATAACCTGGCCACCGCATTCCCCGTATGCCGTAACAGCACATGCAGTTCATGCGCGCTCGCGTCTGTATCCCTGTAGTGGTCGGCTGGTAATAAATGGCGAAGACTGCTGTTGTGTCCTGTGTTGGCCAAATGACATGAAGGAAAACACTACACAAAGCAACATATTTAATGTATATTGTGCCTATGTATATACCGTATACGTGTTTAAGGCGACGATATATGTTTTAAAACCTTACCTTAGTTCTTCAAATTCGCTCTTTTCTTCTGATCTTGAATAGATAGATGTGTGCCCAATCAGAGCTAACCTGTAGCTTAGTTCACAAGCCAGGAGCATTGTATAGTCTGAACATTTCGAATACACAGTTTTGGTATTTTCCTCTTCCATCAGTTCAATGAATTCTTCAAATAAGTCTTGATCAAAATATACAGTTTCTTCGGAAAATCCATAAAATCGTTGAACGAACTTGCAGGTTGTCAGCTTCCGAAAAAAGGTTTCCATTGTCAGTATCACTGTTGCCAAAGTTGAGGGAAGAACTTTTGTCAGCGATTGTATCTCAACATAGGAAATTATTCCTTTGAAATGTTCTCGGCTTCTAAAGTCGTGAGGTGTCAAAACTACAGACAAGACTTTGAAGTCAACCAATGTTTCGCTTATCCATTCTTCCAGGTTTCTTTCCATCTGCAAGTTGTAACTGGTTAAATGATCCCCCTGTTTTCTGTTCTTTGCAACAGTGAGTAGGATAGGTGGTTTATTGTTTGCAAAAATGCACATGTCACATATCAACCCCGACTTAATTTTGTGAAATCGCTGAGGATGTCTTGGAAACAGACACTGAAAAGACCCTCCAACGTAGATAAATGCTCCCCGTCCATATGTTTCTTCAAGTACCGACAGAATCTTTGGGTACTTACTTGACAACATCCTGTGCATACATTTAGGGTAGATGACGACTTTACCTGCAACACCAATTTGTGTAAGTTTACTGTGGTACTAGCTTACTCAACCAATCTGCATGCTCAAATGCAATATAATGTAGCAAATGTCAGAGCCACTGACATGTCTGATTAAGTATAGTTGGACGCATCGTCACCAGCTTGTGTGGACGAGAGGATATACATATACGTGTGTCACCCTTCAGAAAGCATTTCACAAGTTCATTACTAACGATTTAGGAGTGAATCCTCACTACGGTTATCTTAAGAGCATTCCACAGGCATACATGCCCCTCTGTCAAAACGTATAAATAAACAAGTGATATGTTCTACTCATAAGAATCAACTTTCGTAACACAGAGGTCAAGGTCAAGTAGAGGTAACTAAATGTTGCAACATAACTCAAATTGCATGTTCTGCTCTTGAAACCAAAACAAATCGCTTACAAATGTTGATTTTCGAAACAGTGGGATTTTTAAAGATTTTTAGAGATCCCGCAAAAATATCTTAGTGGCTTCATATCTTTATGACAGGCAGACACACAACCTGGCACACAAGCCACGGGAAGAATTGAAACAGTTCATGTTCGGGTGAACTTCAATTTCGAAAACTATGAGGTAAAAATAGAACCTTTCAAATATGAATATGTATACCTGCATAAATGTCCTTCTGGAACAAGCTGCAACTGAATATTGTAGATAGATACCCCTCCTTTGGCTTTCCAGTATCTTAAATAGAAACACGAAAACGTGGTGGATCGCAGTAAAATGGCAAACATACATGTCCAATCAAAATGTTTCATCACCATGTTAACAGCAATACTTGTTCAGTCAATTTCCTGTTTTACAACAACAGTTTTGACTACAGTGCGACTACATCCTCCACATCCTCCCCTACTGAATTCACTTACACCATTGAAAATAACATCGACTATTCAGGGTCTCCTTCATATGATTGGGACTATGATTCCAAGACTTTCAATAACAGTATGGAAATATAACTGAACAAATAATAATATGTGTAGAACAAAACACGAAATACATTAATTTCCCATGCAATTATCCATAAAGCCCTATTCGCCCACTGACTGGCCGTGTTAGAATAATGTAAAACATTTTTATAAAGTTGACTGACTGACTGACTGAGTTTGGTTTTATGCCGCTTTTAGCAATATTCCAGCAACATCACGCGGGGGACACCAGAAATGGGCTTCACACATTGTGTCCATGTGGGGATTCGAACCCGGGTCTTTGTCGTGACGAGTCAACGCTTTAACCATTAGGCTACCCCACCGCCCCTTATAAAGTTGAAGACCCTGTACATTTCTGTAGGCCCCTGTCGAAACCAAGATTGCAAACCTGACGATGATATAGTTAACTGATCCTGCAAAAAAATGTATGAATTCTACTTGGCGTACCTCCAAGGGAATCACGTGCGATTGTCTTACACTCTTTGACATTGTTTTCAGAATCTGAAACCGATGAAGTAGACACCTACACAACATGTCATCAACTACAAAGTAAAAGAATAATTGGATTGTTTTACTTTATATTTACTTTATGCCAACTTAAGGTGGCAATTTCCTATGAATACCGATAACTAGTACTAATGTTGTAGTTTTCTCTTGTTCTATTTTGAATTTTAATTTGTTGTCTGTGAATATATGACCAAACACATATAGGACAGGTTTTATACTTTAAACATACATGTAAAATATATTTTAAGAAAAGGCAATGCTTACCCCCTGAAACACGAGAAGAATGCAATGCAGTGCCCACTATGACCTTAAACCTTTGGTCAGAGAAAGATGAAGGATGCGAAAATGAAGATCCATCACTGTCGTAGACAGACATGGTGTTCAAAATGTTACTGCTTTTTATCAATTATATTCAACGACTGCAATCTCCCCAACCATTCACAATGTTCCATTCTAAGTATGTTTCCCTTCTCGTCAATGGTGTAGGTTTCAGGGCCTTTTTTATTATAGAATACAATGCCCGGAGAATACCCGACTGCAATTTCTAAAACCTTTAAATTGTGAGGACTAGTCTGGATTTGCAAAGGAGAGTTATACAGTGCAATCTTAATGAGACTGGTGGGGACAGAAGTGAGAGCACCGTCTGGTCCTTGATAGGATGTGTCACACACTAGTTTAACCTCCAAAGACGTCTCAAACTCGTCAACGCTCCAGTTGCAGGGAAAACCGTTGGGATTTATTTCCCTTGAGTCGTACGTTCCACCTCCATTTCTTTCGTTAATTCCCACGAAGAATGAACCCCCACCTTCAAGTTTTGACATGGAACATAAATATTCCCTGAATCTCAGATCAGTCCAGATGTAATCGACAAACAAGGAAATGTTATGAAATGTTCGATCTTTTTTCGTGAAAACACTCTTAAGTTCAATGTGTCTGCTTTCATGAAGTCGTTTCTCAAAGTTGTGGATTCCTCTTAGTGTTGGTTCTGTTGCTGTTGCGATCACCTTTCTGGACAAGAGGGAGATGAAACCAATGGTCGACGCATTTTCAATCATACAATCCGACGGAACCTTTGTGTAAAAATGTACTGTACATACAGACCGTGCTTTGTTTACAGTGAGGAGAAGAACGGGGGTACTCTCGAAACCAGGAAAAACATCCCACAACCACTGACGTCTGTAAACATCCGTGAACAGTTGTCCATCGGGGATTAGATTCTTCAGGCTGTAATCTGTAAAGTTGTCAAAGTGACCAAGGTACCTGTCTCCTGGATTCTGACCATGCAAATGAATAAGGATCTCTCCGCCTGTGGTATTTCTTAATGCTGATACTTTCTTCTCGATTTCTTTCAACTTTCTCTTTTTAGTCTCGTTATGTTTAAGTTTAGAAGAAAATAGGTTGACATCCAAGTGTATCAAGAAGACATAAGTTCCTTTGCACCCAGAGGAGAAGGCTGTTGCTACCTCTTCACAGTCATAACAACCTGTTCGGAAAGAAGATGGAACAACAGAAACAGTTAACATGTCCACAGAAAGTGGGAGAAAAAATGTGTATTTTGACTTGTTATTTTTATTGAAAGCATTGAGTTAGCTTTTTCAGATATATGCACCATGTGCAGTAATAGGGACAATCACATTGTGACAGAATGGTTCCAAGTAGATGCCACAGACCAACATTTCTACTTTAACCTGTTATGCCAATATATTCAGGTAATTAGGCTACAGTAACGTTATTTCAACGATTTTAACGCATGGAAGTGAAATTTGGGACTATACTTATAGAACGTGTATTGAAAAGGTTCATAGTGAGTATTTGAAAATCAGTTAATCAGTTAACAAAAATGCCTCATGTGCTGTACCTGGATAAATTGGCAGATATATTTTGCATGTACATAACTATTCAAGGTGTATCAAATATTGGTGCTTAGTTATTCGTATGGACCAAATGCCTGCTATAATATGATGAAAGGCTATGATGACAACGGAGGCACAAATTGGGTTTCACATGTTTGAATGCTATTATTTACAACGGGATTTTCCTATGTCAGGTTAGCCCAAGATTGTGGCGATGTAAATCACTTCATGTAAGATTTTAAACAACGTTGTATAAATATGAATATACAACACTGGAATAATAAAATAAGTTACTACTAGAACCTGAACTGCACATTTGCTGTGACGCATTAAACAAAGATTTAATGCGAATGGTAATCATTTTTCGATGTCAATCACATAACTTGAATATACAAAAACAACGTTTTTTCGAAGTTAATGGTTCCATATAATGATGTAATTTGTAATTAATGTAATTTAAACTTTCTGGAAGATGAATATCACATGTTGCTAATATGTCCATTTTATAACCGATGCAGATCAAAATGTACTCCAGCCTATATTTACAGCCCACCTTCAATTGCCACATTTGGAGCCCTTATGAAGATACAGAATATTGATGTTCTTGAAGGGATATGTACATTCCTGAAGCAAAACCTATGTTAACATGATTGTATTATCATTTGTTATATCTCTACTCGACACACCGTGACAATGTTGTATTACCTGTTGTCTGCTTGGCCACATGACCTTCAGTTCTGAATAAAGTAATCTAAAATTGCAGCTGGAAACCTTTAAACACAGTTACATCCAATCCTGAGGTAAAACTCCTGTTGCGATGACGGTGTATGATTACATAATACAGATTATACTTACTTTCAATCCTATCTGCCATATTCTGCCATCCTTTCGATGTATTTAACCATTACTGCATGGCTTCCTGAAAAAATCAAGTTCTGACTGGTTCCGCTTTCTACAGAGTCATATCCCTTTTTAGTGAAGAGAAAATATTACCGCGAGAGAAAGACCATGAAACACTGTGTACTGTGTTCAAAAAGTCTCAAAAGCAAATATTCATTGAGAAAATATCAATTTAATAATAAACATAAAGAATTTTCTAGATTTCATCTTCTTTTTATTCTTTTTGTTCCTGCCCCATCATCAGGTAAAACTAATAAACAGTTAACTGTGTCCATGGCGTCACAATGCTTATGACGTCACAATGCTAAGACGATGTAATGCATGTGTGAGAAAATCAAGAAGCACCAGATATCCAAATTCACCAATTTGAAACAGCAGAAATCAGATTTACATCAACCGCTTGTGCCAAATCCAAACTTGATAACTACAAGGAGAAAACTGTTGTTAACCTAAGTATAAAAACTCTAAGTTCAGCTCAGAAATCCTTGTTGTTTGAAGGACTTGAAGCTTCAGACAACTCATTTGACTACATTGCAAGCATAGAAAGTGGGTTATAACAACTTGCACCAAACGAAGGTAGATCACTATACTAGGGACCGTGAGGATGACCAAAGATGAAACAAGACGACAAAGTCATCAATGTCCCCTGCAATGGCAAAATACTCTTGTGAATATGTCTACTAGTTATGATTATGTCAAATGTTTTGGTGTGTATATGGCAAAGTGGAAGGAGAGTATTGAATGGTTTTTTAAGTTCTGCTCCAGAAAGGACCACTAACACCAAATTCAGTCGAAGCCAACTTGTTGCCATGGAAACACAAACAATATTGTATTCAGAATTCTTAACTACAAAACAGCACCAGTACACCACCAAACCTATCTATGTTTGGTGAAGAAATATTCAATGGCTTTATAGTTTTGCTCCAGAAAAGAGCACTACCACCAATTTCAGTCGAAGTGAAACTTGTTGCCATGAAAATGCAAAAAAAAATATTATTTAGAATCCGAAAACTACCAAAACGCACTACTACGCCACCAAACCAATCTACGTGCCAAGTGTGGTCAAGAAATATTGAATGGTTTTACAGTTTTATCCTCGACAACCATCATAACCCCAATGCACTTCTGTACCACCCAGACAATCAACACCCTAGAATTAAGTTTACGATGGAAACAGCAGCAGAACAAGCTCCCTTTCTTGGACATCACCATTGCCAACTCCAACTACCGGCTCATCACGTCGGTGTGTCGCAAACCTACCCACGCAGACAAATATATTCATCACCATTCAAACCACCAACCCAAAAATAAACATAAATAGTTACCATACTTGCCAGACGCGCGAAAACAATCCGTACCCCTGACTTACTGTAACAAGAAGTTGACTACATGAAGACAAAATTCATCACATACAATGGTTATCCTAAGAACCTTGTATAAACCACTATAAAGGAAACACAGCAAGATCAAGTTTAGCGTCCTTTAAAACCTGAACCATCTCCTATCCGCATCAACATCCCTTATGTTGGGCCCATCAGCCTCCAAGTCAGCAGACTTCTAACGAAAACGGGCAGCATTGACACAACTTTCTCGCTTGGCAAAACCCTTAAAACTCATTCAAGCTATCTCCAACCCAAAAGGGTGTGTGTCTAAACTGAAATGTGACAGTGGTGACATCTACATTGGTGAGACAAAAACACCAGTAGCTCCACGTGTGAAAGAACACAAACCTTCAGTCGACAAATCAGATCTGAAATCTGCAGTTTCTCAACACATTATGAATAATCCTAATCATGAAATTGACTGGGAAACCGAAGTCGTCGCCAAAAAGAAATAGTGACTGGCGGAAACGCAAATTGATTGAAGCTATCCTCATCAAACGGACAAAACCAGCAATAAACAGGGATCAGGGCGTGTACCTCCCGAATGCATGGCTCATAAAACAATAGACAATACCCTACCTTCGTCATTGTTTCATAAAATCACTGTACCCATGTATACATTTCATGTATACACTGTAATTACTTTACATTCTGTACATGTATAAATAAGTATCTGTACATTTCTAAATTAATCCAATAATTTTGCAGTAAACAATATATTACATATTCATAATAACATGAACTCCTATTATCCCTGTTAGCTGTAGCTATTATGACGTCATGTATTGCGTCGTTATAGCATCGTGGCGTCATAAGCATTGTGACGTCATGGACCCCGACACGTTATATGAAAGAATAGAAAGAAGATGAAATCCAGAACGTTCTTTATGTTCATCAAATAGCATCTTTTAAATTGCGAAATCAAGCATCAATTAAATAATTCAAGCGAATAAACATCTGTTACTGCAGGACACATACCCGACGAAATATGTAATTGAAAAATATATATCATGTGCTAGAGAAAGTTTAATGTCATGTCCATGAGTGAGTGAGTGAAAGTTTAGTTTATATCATGCCTAGCACTCAGCAATATTCCAGCCATATGGCGGCGGACTGTAAATAATCGAGTCTGGACCAGACAATCCAGTGATCAACAGCATGAGCATCGATCCGCGCAATTGGGAACCGATGACATGTGTCAACCAAGTCAGCGAGCCTGACCACCCAATCCCGTTAGTCGCCTCTTACGACAAGCAGAGTCGCCTTTTGTGACAAGCATGGGTTGCTGAAGACCTATTCTACCCCGGTTCTTCACGGGTCTCATGTCCATGAAACATTGTGTGAAAAAAGTCACAAAAACAATATGTTTCAGGCGAATAGACATCTGTATTCAATACCCAAGAAACCAATGATCAACATAATGAGTATGGGTTGTTGGAGAATCGTGTGGAGTCTTTGTCTTAGGTTTATAAGTGGAACAATTTTTTAAAGTCGACAGGTGTTGCTTTTGCCATCATGCATACCTGATGATGAAATAGTTGACACTAGTTATGTAATGTAAGGTAATAATGTAATATAATGTGATGTAATAATGCAACTAAGTAATCTGGGGCAATGTAATGTATTAAGACTAATGCAATAACAACGTCAAGTCTTTTCTCCTCCCGGTGTAAAAGCTATAGGAGGCAATTCTATCAAGGTGAGGCAGGACATCCTCCACAGGCCTGTTCCACTTAACACCACCCTACAAACTGTTGCTGTCCGCATGACTCTGAACATAGGGTTTACACTATGCTCACTCTATCTTCCGCCCTCTTCAACTGTCCGCCTATCAGATCATCAGAACCTGTGTGATCAACTCCCAAAGCCCTGTATAATCATGGGCGACCTGAACGGCCATAACCCTCTATGGTGGAGTACTGATACAAATAATAAGGGAAAGGTCCTTGAAGATTTTCTCTCCAATAATGATCTATGCATCTTCAACGATGGATCAAACACTTATCTCCATCCTGCCACTGGAACATACTCTGCACTGTAATGTTATGTAGGAAGTGTCAAGATCAGTATTTTGCTTCACACTGGAAAAGCTGACTCTGAACATGTAACGGATCGACCAAACGCAACCGGCTGGTTTGGGTATATATGTTACAGGGAATATGTATAATCAGGGAATATGCATAATCCCTGAAAAGTTCAGGTAATATGTGTAATGTCTGATTCACTCAGGGAATATACATAATACCTAAAATTTTCAGGAATTATACATATTCCCTGGTTTTAGGAGAAGTCCTTTAGACATATTCCCTGAAACTGTATCAAAGTTTAAATGATTTTGTTTTTGTTTTTGTGTGTGACACCTTTGATGTAAAAATATAACTTTTAGCTTGTTAAGATAAAACAACTTAATGATTGTAGTAACAACATCTCTGATGAATTCCAACAAGGGTAGCGCTTGTAGATTTAAAGATTTAAGTGCTAATCTCATTTCATTAATCGAGTGAAGTAGTACAAGCTTGTAACAACATTTGATCACAATAATATCAACCAGGATATAAAAAAGAGGACTGGACCAAATTCTCCACTTTATGTAAACAAATCGACACTACTTCCATCCCCAAATCAGATATAAACACTTGAACCTCAATTACAGTAACACTTCAATGGACATCACACATAAATGCATCCCCACTTTTAGATTAAACCCTGCACAAAAAACAGTCCCTTGGTGGAGCCCCGAAATTATTAAAGCTAGAAAAGACAGGGAAAAGGCCCTCAATAAATCAAAGAGGGACCGTTCCAAAATTCATTTGGCTAAAAAACTTCGAAATCAAACTAAAAATCCTACCACGGCAGCAAAAACAACAACATTGGAAATCCTTTTGTAATACCCTCAAGCTAGGCCATAGAAATACCAGAAAACTGTGGAATAAATTTAAAGCCATAAATGGTAATTCTCAATCAATCACCTGGCCAAACCTTCTGGACCTAGCCACAGACAAAGACAGAGCAAATACCATGGCTGCCCACTTTTCGAACACATGTAGCTCCATGAATTACACAACAACAAAACAAAAACCTCCCCCCCCCCACCCCATCTCCCCATCAACAAACCAATCAACATACACGAACATAAATCAGCACTCAAAAACAAAAACTCAGCCTCAGCCACAGGTCCAGATAAGATCAGCTACACCATCCTAAACAAACTCCTACCAAACATGCAAAACCTTACACTACTCCTCTTTAATACATTCTGGACTTCAGGACACATACCCTCTTCCTGGAAAACAGCAAAGGTAGTATCAATTCTCAAACCAGGGAAACCCTAAAACGACCCCGACTCATATTTCCCTTACTTCCCACCTTTGCAAAACTTTAGAAACCATCATAAACAACAGGCTAAAACACGAAATTCATACCAAAAATCTTATTAAGGAGGACCAGAGCGGCTTTCCTCCAAACAGACAAACTTTAGAACATATTTTACATTTGGAACAAGATGTCAAGGTAGCACAGGCACAGAAACAATACACAATGGCCATTTTCATAGACTTCAGTAAAGCATTTGGCACAACGGCCTTATACAGAAACTTCAAAACAATGCCATTCACGGGAGAATTCCAAATTTCATTCACTCTTTCCTAAGCGACCGACATATAACAGTCAAATCTCACAACAAAATTTCGGACCAGTATCCTTTAGAAAATGGAACGCCCCAGGGGAGCATCTTATCCCCAACTTTATTCAATTTCATGACTAACGACATTTTCCCTACAAACACTCCAAAATTTCCACTGCTAAATTTGCCGACGATATTTCCTTCTGGACCTCCTCCACTTCCATTAAACAAGCAACTTCCAAAATGCAAAGAATTCTAATTCATATTCAAAAATGGGCCGAAAAATGGGGCTTCCACATTAATGTTAAAAAACCGTGGGCATCTGATACAAACCCAAGTATATGCAACATTACACACCCAAACTCCACCTTAACAACCAAGAAATTACAATTCAAAAAGAAGCAAAATTCCTAGGAGTAACTGTTGACCAACACCTCAAATGGACACCCCACATTCATTATCTGGTCAACTCATGTCAAAAAGATCTAAACCTCATGCGAGCTATCACTGGCACAAACTGGGGAACTGACAAACAAACCCGTCTACATATATGTGAAACAGGCAAAATTCAAAATCTAAATCCATACAGTATAAAACCCTCAAACTAGCCCTGTGGGTTAGAACTGGTACTTCCCTTAACACACTCCTTCTTCTTACAGGCATCTCTTCAATCACACACAGAATCAACCAAGCTACACTCAATTACTGGGCTGAGGCCCAACACAACCCTATATTCAAACTCATAACAACACAATACAACACACAAAAATCCACAATTAATAAATTCAAAATACATCCAAACAAAGCACCCTGCCTCACTCACCTGACCAGTCTGCTTCATGCACAACAATTAAACAACATCACCAACCCACCTCCCATCACAAGCTACATCCACGACAAACCACCACCTAATACCGACACCATCCTAGCCTCGAGCTCCCTCTTCCTTCAACTACCAAAAATACAGACATTGCCACCAAAACTGATATTATTAACACCCACATCAACCAAACCTACCCTTTCCACACCCACATCTACACTGACGCATCCATTAACACCAACAACCTAACAGACCTAGGCATATATGTACAACAATCCCCCCTCCAACAACAAACCTGCACCACTCAAACCACACCTCCATTAACGGGGTGTTCTCTTTTTGCCTGCACGTATTGTTTAGGGATTACAAATACTAGACCGTACTAATCCTTCCAACAATGGGTATTAAAGCAATAGTCTGTAGTAGAAATGTAAGTATGCCAGCACTTACTGGTAAACAGTAATGTTTATCAGATTTTGTTTATTGCATATAGCACCCGCAAATATACGAATATGAGTCATTTGAAAATATGGTGACATTTTTAATGCAAGCACAATAATGCATATATACAAATATACGAAAATGAATTATCTGACAAATATAATGAAATTATAAATCAGTAAATACACAAGATAAGCGTAAAATGTCACACCAGGAAATAAATATTTATGTGCACTGTGCATTATACATAATTACATACAATTGTATAATTTGTTTCACATCACATAATATTATTGTCCTTCGTCGACAGGTTTTTGCAATTAAATTCCATTTATTATCAGTTTTAAACTTTGTAAGTCACGATATGGCTGAAATATTGCCGTTGTGACTATAAATCTTAACTCACTCACTCACTCACATGACATAATAATCACATTCACAATCCCACAAGATGAGAAACGCCATCACCATAAACAAATGGTGAGACCAGTTAAGAGTCTATGTTTTTCAAGTTCAATTCTTTCTTCAAGGTGCCGGTAATGAACTCCACTTACTTGAACAGATTATAAGTGTGCAGGAACTGGACTGTTAATCCTAATCCGCTTATAGCCAATTAAAGTGCAGGCAAAAAGAGAATACACCTCATTAACACAGCTGAACTAACCGCCATCCTCTCTGCACTGCACTTAATCCCCAATCTCAAACAAGCAAACTTCTTAATAATAACCGACTCACTCAGTGCCATCAAGCAGATAAACAACATGCATTCCAAATCTCGTAACGACATTATTC